TTATATTATTGATGATTAGGATTCAGTTCTTGACAATTACATTCTAATTAGAATTTTAAGGATAATGAAATTACGCTACGCACAAAAATACATTTAAGGATAAAAAATGAGTTGATTTTTTATTTTTTTAAAACTTCTTAAATTCATTTAATAAACATCGTATCCTCGTTGTTAATTGAATCCAGAATGTTGTGTGTCGTTTATATAATTATTCTTACTCGTCCACAGAAGCTGCTGATTTATCCAGCCATTAAGTAGCTGCAAATCATTTCTACATACCATTGAACTTCCACTAATTCAGTCTCTAGAGGGTTGTATGTTTATATCATAATTTGACTTTTATAAAAATGATTATTCTAAATATTATGTTTCTATAAAAATATACTGTGCTTTAAAAATGGGGATGATAGTATCAGCCGCTCTTTCAGCCACTTCAAAGCAAGAAATAAATTATGCAGTTTAATGTCATAAAATTCAATAAATATCAAACGAAAATTCTCAGTTTTAGACAATTTCGATTTAAACGGAGTAAGTAGCAGACGATAAACACCGGAAGGTAAACTTTACTCTTATTTTTTTTTCAAGGAAAATAAAGAGAAATTTAAAAAAATAGTTAAAAATTTGAATATATCATCTATAATTTAAAAAAAAATAGCTTTTCATATAGTATTAATAAATATTTATTACGCTTCATTGAGGGAAAAAATGTTATAATAATTAATTCTCCGTAAATTTAACTTGAAATTTAAGGTTAAAAATAGCTGTGGCAATTCACTGTAACAAAATCCAAGACCACATTTGGGCGTTATTATCGCTCAAAAAAAAGGATGCCCAATTTCAAAACAACCAAAACTCGAAAATATGTAAATTCGTGTATATCTTAGAAAATTTTGAATAAAAAAGTCTATTTTTTGCAGATATGCTTAAAATACACCTACTTTAAGATGATGGTAAAAATTTTAAAATTTATAAAAATTATTTAAAAAGAATTTAAAAATAAAACCAAAGAATGGGTAAATTTTATTTGGAATGAACCTAAATTTCAAAATGTGAGAGAAAAAATCAAAAAGTTTAATAAAAAAGAAATATTAATAAATATTTGTCAAATTCAATTAACATTGAGGAGCTAATATTTTAAAAACTACTCGCACGATTTTTACAAAATTTGGTATTCTGGCATAATTTGAGTCGTAGAATTGAAATATGAAAAACAATTGGTATGTTATTTCAGAAAAAGTCCGATTTTGTGTCAAAATACCTATGTTAGAATAGTGTTATATATAAATCATCTAAGCATGCCCATCTAAAGGATAAATCTGAAGAATATTTTAAGAAGAAATTATCGGAGTTCAAAAATAGTAAACAAGTAATGAAAGGTTTTTTTGCTTCAATAAAAAGCTTTGGAAGCTAGTTACTTAGTAAGCCTAAGAATTGCCAACACTAAGCAGGCTCACAGTATTGGAGAAAACCTTACATTACCAGCAATCAAAAGTTATTCTGTTTTCAAGTGGATGAATTCATAAAATGACATATTTCATAAAAGAGGCACTTATTCAAAAAATAAAACACAGTGAATATTTCGCATTGCAGTTGGATGAAAATATGATAACTTTGTTCAATTACATTACCAGCACCACAATTATTAGTTTACATACCTTTGAAAGAAGATAAATGAATTGCTTAAGAGTATTTATTTTGTGCATCTCTTCATGATAGAGCAACTGCAAATTAAATTTTCAAAGTAACTGACAATTTTATGTCAGAGAATGGCATTTGTTGGAGTCAATGCATTGCTTTATGTGGTGGCGGAACCCAGGCCCTTACCAGGCAACATTCAAGGTTATTTCTCAAAAAAAAAAAAAAAAAAAAAAAAAATTAGGACTGGAAACTAAATTTACTGACCCCTCCATTCATCATGAAGCATCATGAAACTCAAAAACGAATAGCCTCAGAACGTTGAAATTTTGTAATAGACTGCTATAAAATGTGATGTGCACCTCGTATTTTGATTGCAATCGACCGCACCAACGATATAATATATTTATATAACCCACTCTGTTACCACGGCTCACATATCTCAGTTTCTTTACTCTTATATGTTGTAAATGTACATTTTTTACTTTAAAAATGATCGAATTATGTTGTTTTTTATCTTCCGTTAAGGGTTTTAGCCTTTAGTAAATCTGTATGCATACTTTTAGAATTATCAACATTTTAAAGTTGTCTAAGTGCCGCTAAGCCTTTTTTATATGGCGGCCATTGATGTTTACATTTGAAACAGAGACTAGTGGATTTGTTGCCAATCGAGAGAAAGTTAGCTTTGCAACAACAAAGATAACGCATTTATTTATTATTGCCAATTAAATCATGCTTAATTCTTTCTGGAATTTTTTCGAGGAAATAAGTGTTTAAGATTTACTTCGTAATTTTTAATATAGATATTTTGAGTTTTTATGCATTTTTGCCTGCTCGCGAAGTGAGAACTGAATTAATTAAATGAGAAATACTCAATCCTCTGTGAAAAACTGTTTCTTTTTTGTTTTGTTTGCTTAATTTCTTTTATACATCATTCTAGCTTTATTATAGTATTTAATAGAACATGTGGCAACGATTAGATAATTCTATTCTTTAAATGATATAAATTTTTGTGCATTATGAGTTATAATATGAACGGAATATATAAGTTAACTGTTATATAATTATTGGATTATATAACAGTTAACTTAGTTTCCGTTATATAATTATCATATAAGTTAACTGTCATATGTAATTAATACTGTTAAGTGAATCTAGCGCCAGAGTGACGTTACGGTAAACAAATACTAGAGTGAACTTTAAAGAATACATTTAGTCTATTGTGGTTTATGCGCTGTTGGCGAAATAGATTTAATTCAATCCAATATGTTTAAATTAAATACAAGAAAAAATGTGTATAATTTAATATTCCGTACAAGGAAGTCATGTGGTGTACACATCAGATTTTTTTTAAAGGCAGTCAAGTACAGGAAGGCTAGCCCTATTTGTGGGATGTGCATGTGTATTTATTCTGTTCCTCTGATAGGGCAGTGCTATTTAGTAATGAATACATTTGGAGAAAATTCCATTAGTTCTGTGCCTCCAGATTCCATTCAATTTCTATTCAGTTCTTCAATGAAATGCTTCCTTGAAAAATCTAATGGCATTTTTATCAATCTCACCATTATCGTTTACTTACAATGATGGATATATTTGAATTTTCTATGGAAATATGTCCAGGGGTTTTACTAGTATTTTGTGCATTGCTGTTTTCTCCACCTAGCTTCAATTGAATTACATATTAATTTTCATGGACTGCATTCAGTGATTTTCTGAACAACATGCACATTTGGTTCTTTAATAGCCAGTCAGCATTGTTCCATGTTTCCAACCAATCCGTTTACAATGTTTCTCATCCTTTCAGATTTCTCAGTTTCATCACTGTCCTCTTATTAGGTCATTTGGCCTTTTAAATTTGTGTTGGAAATACCATCTCGCCTTGTTGCATTGTCTTTATTTTATTGGAATTTAAGTGCACTAAAACACTGTTGCTCTAAGGAATATGACATTTTTTCCCGCACTTCTGTTCAGTTTGAATGGAAGGTTTCATTTGCATTGTAGAACACTGTTGCTGTAAGGAATATGCCATTTTCCCTACACTTCCTATTCATTTTGAAGGCAAGGCTTCATTTGCATTCTACAACAGAAAGTAAATAACTTGACTTGAAAGATAACATATAGGGAGTCGACTGGAACCTCATTTTTGGTAGAATTTATTGCTAATATAACAGCATTGTATTTAAATTTTATCCACTGCACCTAATATGCAATGAAAATGATTTTTTCCTTACTTGACACAGTACAAAGTCTGTAATCTGGACTCGTCGGGACTTCAGCGATTCTGGATTAGGGGTTTTTCTGGATTATAGATCATCAATTTAAATCTGGTAAGATGGCATGCAGGAATTATGCAATTAAAACTATGAAACCGTAATTTATGAAATAAGGAGCAATTATGATCTAAAGGGTATCAAAATTTATTAAAAAAATCTTAATATTTATTTGTTTACTTTATTAAACATTTCTTTCAATGTAAGTTGTTTAAGTTGCTTCGTTTTTTGTGCTAATACTTTCTCTTTAATAAAGAGACATAATTTCTTGTTCAGTTACAAAGTTTCACTGTTCAAGTCCTGTAATTGCTGTGTCGAGAATACCGACTAACTTGTCAATCGAAATTTTTTCATTTTCAATAACCTCTCTGTCACTTTCTTCACTATCGGAAGTGGTATTTTCTGGATCTAGAACCATACTGCAGATTTCGCCATCCGTTAATTAATTGATGATTGAAGCATTGTTATCACAATGAAAAACTTCTGTTATATCATCTTCATTTATTACCGCTTCTCCACATTTCTTTACAAAATCCAATAACTGGGAAATTTCACCTTTAGTTTGTGATGTCCGAAAACCTTAAAATTCGTGGCTATCATCTTCATCGTCCTCACCATGATATATGGTAGCTGTCCATAAATTATGCCAAGCATTTTTTAACGTATCTAGCAACACATCCTCCCAATGTGCATGCGTAAACGGGCATTAACGCACATGTGTAAAGCATACAAGAAAAAAAAAGTTTGTGCCTTTAAGGATTATAGATCATTCCGGATAATGGACGTCCGGATTACAGACTTTGTACTGTATATTTCTTTTAAAATTTGTGGTCTCCATTTCAGTATTTCTGTGTATCTGTAAGTATTAGCGTAATTTTTTAATCATTAATTGATTTAAAATTTTTATCTTTTATCTAAAGTTTTTACTAATGAGGGAAAAAGTTTGTTTTGTTAAATGCTAGCATGTTATTAGTCCATTTTATAATTATTTGCTTATATAATAAAGAATTACTGGAAACATAAAATTATTTATTTATTTATTTATTTTTTACTTGCATTCATGTGATGGTGTTTCACAAAGCTATTTAATTTCAGAAAAGACGACTTTTAAAAGTAACTCCAGTTGCTGTAAACAAAGCTATTAAAAATGAAGAGGAAATTGCATGCGCTCGTAATGCCCATGTAAGTTGATTGTTATTCAAAAACTTTGAAATTAGGAATTGCATTTAATCATTCAGAAATTTGTAAAAGGTAAGATTCAGGTTGATTTGAAATTTTTAAGATTCCATTTGAAAACTACTAGAGATCACTCTTATTTTGAATTGTGTAAAATTAAAGAAATGTTTTGTTCAATACTATAATGCATTTTTGTGTGCATTTCAGATTAAAGATTCTACTGCTCTTTGTGAATTTTTTGCTTGGTTAACTCAGGAAATTTCTGAAGGAAACATCACTGAAATTTCTGCTGCAGAAAAACTTGAAAGTTTTAGAAAGTATTAAAACATTTATTTCTTTTTTGTGCAGTTTTTAACTTTTATAAGTATCTGCTCTTCTTCGTCATATTTAGAAAGAAATGAGACTTATTTATTATCATTCTAATACAGATTGTTAAATGCTACTATTTTAAAATAGCAGCAAAACTTTAATTTAATGACTGAAGGGATTGGACAAAATTATTGTTAATTATTAGCTTGAGGATGCATTTTAATTTAATTTTTTAGTATGTGTTACAAAAAAGCAAAATAATCCAACCCCCATTTTGTAGTTACCTAATTTTTTATATTTTAAACAAGTACTTTTTTTTTTTTTTTTTTTTTGCAGAAGTCTATAATGTAGTTTTGCTTAACTTTACATTTTAAAATAGTACTAGTTATTCCTTTACCAAGAGTAACTGATAAGTTCAATCCATTGTCATCTACATCAGATTTCTTGTAGCATTCAGTTAAATTGCTTGACTATGAAATGTTATTGGAGAATATGGATATGTTTCTCTGTACTTGCCATCAGTGTACAGCTCACTTCTATTGAAAGCTCCTTAAATGGAAAGATAAAATTTATTTGCTCCAAGAAGTTGAAATTGGAGGAAAATAATGCATGTGTGGCTTTAGAACCTGTTAATTTTTATAAAGTATTAGCTTTGAATCAAAGATATCTATAATTAGGTAGGGAATAATTTGCATTTGTTTTAGACATTATGTTTTGGTCAGTGAAAACAAGTAGTAAATTCAGGAATTCTTAAATTGGTATAATTTCTGAGATCTGTTAAACTTTTTATCAACTATCATAAACCTCATTATTTTTTGCATGTACAGTACACCATTATCCGGAATGATCTATAATCCGGACCCTAAAGCCGCAAACTTTTTTTTATGCTTTACGCATGCATGTGCATGCACGTTGGGAGGATGTGTCTCCCAAATACATTAAAAAATGCTTGGTATAATGTATGGCCAGCTACCATATATCATGGTGAGGACGATGAAGATGATAACCGCAAATTTGAAGGTTTTCGGGCATCGCAAACTAAAGGTGAAATTTTCCAGTTATTTGATTTTGTAAAGAAATGTGGAGAAGCGGTAATAAATGAAGATGATATAACAGAAGTTTTTCATTGCGACGACAATGCCCCAATCATCAATCAGCGGACCGCGAAATCTGTAGTATGGTTCTAGATCCAAAAAATACCGCTTCCGATAGTGACAGTGAGGTTATAGAAAATGAAAAAATTCGATTGACAAGTTAGTCGGTATTCTCAACACAGCAATTACAGGACTTGAACAGTGGAACTTTGTAACTGAACAAGAAATTATGTCTGTTTATAGAATTAAAGAGAAAGTATTAGCACAAAAAATGGAGCAACTTAAACAACTTGCATTGAAAGAAATGTTTAATAAAGTAAACAAATAAATATTAAGCTTTTTTTTTGTAAATTTTGATACCCTTTAGATCATAATTGTTCTTTATTTCATAAATTATGGCTTCATATTTTTAATTGTATAATTTCTGCATGCCATCTTACCAGATTTAAATTGATGATCTATAATCCGGAATCGCCGAAGTCCCGACAAGTCCGGATTACGGACTTTGTTCTGTATCATGTGACATTATATCATTTAAAAAAAAAAAAAAGCAGGCCTTGCATCTTATTCCACAGACTATTGATCAAAATTTCTTTGCCACAATAATTTCCTCGAATATACAAAAGAGATAAAAAAACACTGAGAGCATCTAATGCCATTGATGAGGTGTCATTTTGAAGTTACTGAAAAGCTTTTGTTTCAGTAATTCTTTTATTAGTATTTTGTTCTAATGAGCTTGTAACTCTTTCATTTTGTTATAGTTTGTTGTTAGTCAGTATATATATATTCGTACCATGCGATTTAATGCAATTCCATTCTTTGAATGTACCACATCAAAATTACTCTATATTGGCAAATTTCTTTCGGTTGTCTTTCTTTTTTATTTATACTCAGCAGACATGTTGGCACATTTAGTTTTGGGGACATTTTATAATAAAACCTAAGCTTATTTTTAAGGTCTTTCTATTAACTTCAAAGTCACTATTAGCTGTTTCAAGTTTATAAGGAGCAAAATATTTATCTTCTGCAAATATATTCTCCTCTTTCTGATGCATTTTCATCTAATTTATTCAAAAACTGTTCTTCATTTGTGGGCCTATTAAATTAGCTATATGTAGAAGAAACTTCTAAGTAGTATTTCCCTTTATTCCATATAGCCTTTCTTATGTTTCACTTTGCATAAAGAATAAGCAGATGTTTTCAGAGTCATCACTTTTAAGTGAAAAATCATTTGCCAGAAATAGGAACAGAAATTCAGAAGTACTTATTAACACAATAGTATTATTATGGTCTTTGCTTTATTTGCTTTCCTTACAAATTAGTTTTGAAAAAAATTGCAAAAAATCATCGCATTTTTTAAAATTTTATTATTAAATACAACAAAACGAAACAAATAAAAATATGTAGGTTTTTAAGTTGAATTTTTAATTTTTTGAAGGTGTAAAAGCATTTAGTTTTAATATTAGTTTACTATCCCGAGTTATCTCGAGCAAAAGAAAAAAAAAAAAAAATAATATTAGTCTTTGTATGATAGTTTTTGAAACAAGGGACAACACAAAGTGATACCTGACATTCTACACTGGTATCTGGTCTCTTTTCTTACTGGCTTACCGCTGGAATCTCTTTCACGGTAGCACAGAGTACACTGTCTCGTTGGATTTAATTTTTAGAAAAAAAGTTTTTTTCCACCTCATCATAATCATTATCTGAAAAATCACCGCTTTCGCTATCTTGCATCATCGCCATTTTTTTTTTTTTTTTTTTTTTTTTTCCAACTCATGTAGTATCCTTTTTTATACATTACTGATCCACAAGCCAACTTATACTATACAATAGGGAAACACGTGACCAGTCCCTCCAAAAGAACCGCATCACCAACAAAATTTGGCAAACTGCCAATCAAAGCTGAATATTTCCTTTCCTCGAGGCCGAATAAAACCGTGATAAAACAAATCGTACTAACAAATTCTGCTTCGCCCAAGTTTTCACGGGGTAATAATTAAATGCAATATATATGAACCCGAAATAACGCGAGATAATCAGGCAAGCGGTTAAACATCTGTCTCGTTTTTCATATCTTTAAACTGATGCTGTAGGCTGAATAGGTATACAATTTGTTTTCTCCTTTTTCACAATTGAATAAAATTTTGTAAAAGTATACATATATATAAATTATGTAAAATAGGAAAAATCACAAAAGTTCAGCAACCTGAACCCACAAATAAAGATGTTATACTCAAAAAAGTTTTTTTTTTTTTTTTTTTTTTTTTAATCTGAAAATGACAATAGTCATCTTTCTAGTTGTTTTTGAAGCTTTAATTCATTTTTTAATTTTTTTCTCATCTCTATTTAAATAAAGTCTGATACATTTAATATGAGTGCACAATGATAGACATTCTGGAGTGTTACTTAAATTGAATGCAGATGATATTTATTATGCTGGTGAAAATAATGCATTCAATCATATCTCACTGAATATACTTCATTGATTCGTGTAAACATTTTAGGTAATATAAGAGCTATGGATAGTGTTCTTACACAGCATAAACTTACAAAAATGAACTGTGGGTTATCAAGATATTTAACCTTCATTGTTTAAAATCTATACTGAGAACATTTGTGATAGTTCTTGACATTTAGGCAGCACATTCCTATTAACATTGTATTGCTTTACTTCGAATACTAGTTAAATATAATTGTTAATATTTCTGTGAATGTGTATGAAACTTGCATAAAATAATTTATCTTCTGTATATACTTCTGAAGATCAAAAGAGGATTATGTTGGCCCCAGCTTTGAAACTATATCTGCTTCAGGTCCAAACGCCTCCATTATTCATTACCATCCAACACCTGAAACAAACCGAAAAATTACTGCTGAAGAAATGTATCTTTGTGATAGTGGTGGTCAGTATAGGTAATACAGATTTTTTTCAAAATGATTTAATTTATTTCGTGCTAATTTTTTTAATGCAGTTGCCGTTTTGTTTTATGCATAAGACTATTCAAGCTGATTAATTTTCTACTGTGAAGTAGTTTTTCTTATGTATATTTTAGTCTGCACTGTTATAACTCATATTTTAGATGTTAAATATTTCTACAATGCATGCAAACATAATATATAATATTTAATTAAACGATTCTTTGATTCCTTATATAAAGCATTCTCCCCTTATAAAATTGTGTTAAATTTGGAATATTTGACATATGATGTATATGGCTTCTATTTTGTTTTGTATTAATATTGTTACAAGCTATGGCCCACCAGTGGCCGAGCGGTAAAGTTGCTGAACACTGGTAGTTCGGTCCGAGGTTCGAATCCTGCGAACGGGCTGGCTGTCTGGGTGTTTTTGTGGTGTTCCCCATGTGTAACGTGTATATATGAGCCAGTTTCCGTTAGAAAGTCCTCCACGAAGGCATCCATCACCTTAGGCAGATAGCCCTCAAGGCTTCGCTGTAATTAAATAACCTAAACCTGTTACAAGCTATGGGTTCATCGATGTCTTTTTAAATGGTCACTGCAAATGAGCCATTCATTATTAATAATCTACAGCAAAATAAGTAGGTGTAAATAACTCAAGGAAAATGCAGATATTAGACAAATTCTTTTTACTATACAAGAAATAAATCAACTGATATCAGTTGTAAGTAATGTCTAAAACATAGTTCAACAAAATCTCTTTCAATAGCAATCTTACTGAAAAACTAGCAATTGATTGATCGCTCTCTGTCCAAGCCATTTTTATATAGTTTGTCAAACTTTCTGGAAGCTTTAGGGAAAATCTCTCCTAGAGTTTCGAAAACAAATTTTCACAAAACTTTCAAAATGTTGTCCACTTGGCAATGAAGCATCATCTCCAGTCTTAAAATTAATTATTACGTTTCATATCATTGTATAAATAAGTATACTTTTGTAAATGGTTTGAGTAATTCATTCAGTTCTTATATTTGGATAGTAACTCACCATATGCATGGAATTACAGTAAAACTCTACTTAATTGAAATGCATCTTAACAAGAATGGTTGAAAATAGTACTGTCTTAAAAAACATATTTAACATTTCTTTTTTTCCAAAAACCTTGACTATATAGTAATAAATAGTATGTAGTATAAATAGTAAGCTGTGAAATAAATCCCTTCAGAAGTTAAAAGTCATTAACAAATTATATCAATTTGAATTTGTGTTTTATTAAATAAGCTAGAAATTGCCAAGCTACTAAATCAGAAGTTCTAATTATGTTTTAAACTATTTCGTACAACATTTTAAGTAAAATTTGGTATTCTGCCATCCAGTGCCTATAGAGCTTTTCTGCCTCTAAATTTGCTGCCTGTTCTTGATTCAAAGCTCTGGTGCTAGCCTTAAATATACATTAAGTTTTGTTATTGTTTCAGTTAAATTATAAACAATATTAAGATACAATAACACGTCAGAAAACAAAAATCAGTGTTATATTTTCAAATTTTCACAGTCCCAGTAGCACTATATTTTCAAATTTTCACAGTTTAGTTGAAAATATAACGCTGATTTTTGTTGTTTGACTTCTAAATTAATATAAACAATATGTTATATATTTAACTCTGAATTAACATGTTACTTCAAATTTAAGCCACATTTTTTTTATTCAAATTTTTAAGATCTATATGGCTTAAATTCGTGTGAATATATTAACAACCTGATCACGCTTTCCCCAACAAGTGGGTGTTTCTCAATACTTATTGTAAAACCTCTTTAATTAAATTCCTTCTATTAGCTCACACTCTCCCTATATCTTGTTCTAATTTTCACTCGTTAATAAAATACTTTTTATTTATCCATTCAAGTTCAAATACAGTTTTTTCACATATTAATAGAGCACATGTTTTGCTATTGTATCATTCATTGCTTGCTTTGCAAGTAATATAAAAAAAAATAAAGTATTTTTGGAAATGAAAAAATGTTAATGATGTTAATAAAAAGTAACTAAAATAAAATTTTTCTTTGTTGACCTAAATAAAAATTGACTTTTTTTAATATATATATATATTACTTGTTTCTTATTGTTTTTCCAGTTAAACATACATTTTTCCAATTCATTTCAGTAACTTTAAAACTCTATTGTTAATTCACATACTCTTGCTAAGTCAGATTCTTAGATAAACAGTGTTTTTTAAAGCTATAATATGAAGCAATTATTTTGAAAATGAATTTTATGAAATGTTCCCAAAACCTTAAAGAAATGGTTGTTATGTTTTCCTACTTTTTTAAAAACTTGGAAAATTTCTTGAATTTTAATTGAATGATTAATTGTGTATGAGTAAGAAGCAATTCTTATGTGAAACAATGGAATTTTTAGTAATATGTGAAAAGAACTGTAAAGGAAATATTTGTTTTTATATCTAATTTTATAATATCGTTGTAATTCATAATCTTTTTGTGTGTGTGTGTGTGTGTGTGATTTTTGTATATATATTTTTTTTAAATTTATTTGTCCTTGTGTTCATAATTAGATATTAAATTTAAGTAAAACATGTTTTGAGATAAATATGTATTTTTAGGGATGGAACAACTGATGTCACTAGAACATGGCATTTTGGAATACCATCTTCTTTTGAAAAAGTATTTGTTTTTTGTCATATGCATTTTATTTAGATAATTTTAATTATTAATTTTATGTTTTTTGGATGAAGGTGCAAGATTTATTTTTATAACATTTAAGAAAGCTTTTATTCAGCAGATTATAACAAATATTTCATTTTAGGAGTGCTACACGGTAGTTTTAAAAGGTCATATTTCACTTTCTTCTGCCGTATTTCCGAAATTTGTAAAAGGTGAGTTGCCCGTATGTCTTTTAATTAGCGATAATAATCTATCTGCCGTATGATGTTTAATAATTCAATTGTTAATTTTATGGAAAAGGAAACTGTGCTTGCTAGCATGTGTATATCATATATATTTAATTAATATTCACTTTTGCAATCTTTGCCATTTCACTGTATTTAATTCATATTGCATCCAATGTCTTGTATGTTTTCACTTGGTAGACTGCTTGTAACTTTCAAACTGCTCATATAATTAGGACAATATAATTAGGACATATCACAAACAAGATACACTTAATTTTCTTTTAAATCAAGGCAAAATTTTTTAACAATTAAAAAAAAAATGTCAAAAACCAATGAAACTGTGAAATAATTTGATAATTTTATTGTTAGTGTTTTCTTTCGTTGCCATCAGTGTCATAATTTAATTGGGAGATCAGAATTTATTGTTGCAAATATTCATTTTAAAAATTCACTTACATTTTGGAGTTGATTGACTTTAATGTGTACAGTTTGAGGCTGTAAATATATAGTTTATTATATTAAATTAAATGTTACTGCATTAAAAATTGCAATTATAATGAAAATATCATGATAAATATATTAATGGAATATATAGTTTGGATTTTTGTTTAATATTTAGTTGTATTATAGGGCAACTTTTAGATACACTAGCACGTAAATATTTGTGGGAATATGGCTTGAATTATTTGCATGGTACTGGTCATGGTGTTGGAGCTTATCTTAATGTTCATGAAGGTGAGGCATTTTCTTTTTTCAGATAATATTTATATCCATTTTTTTTATTTCAAAGTTTGTTGTATATGTTGAAAAGCAATTAATTTTACTTAAATTCTTTTTTTTTTTTTTTTAACAAAGTATAGCAACATTTTATTTTAGCTGTGTCCAAACAGTGATATTGTAATTACTTATGAAAATTATCATAGAATTTCCATAAATTCAGAATAAAATTTATTTTCTTTATTAAAAATTAAAATAAAAATTGTGGGGTGAAGTTCCTTTACTAAGCAATCAGTAAAGGAGGAAATAAATCATCGTTACAAGCTAAATGTTAGTTATTGCAAGGAGAAATTGTGGAAGTTAATTTTCAAGATATAAGTGATGATTTATATGTACCATATCACTACTTTTAGTGCAGTTTTGAATGGTTAGGATTGTGCCATAAAAATGGATCATTTGCAGTGTACTTAGAAAAAGATGATGATTGCTTCATTGTGATAAACTTAGAGAGCCTACCTATGGTTTTCAAAGCAGAACTACTTACAAAAAAGTTCTGTGTTTTGGGAGAGAGTAAAGATGTACTCCACTATAAACATTATGAATAGTATGATATATGATGATAGCTACTGCTCATAGCTAGACATTCTGCAGGTAGCAATTAGGAAAGTCAATGGGATTAGTATTGCTTTCCAGCTAAATAACAGCAAAGCTTATGCTGCTTTGTAGATACAACTTTAATTCCTGAAGTTTAAATGGAGTTTTAACATTCAGAAAATACCATTTTCCTCACCTAACCTGTTCTTTGGAATATTGCTGTTTCAGATTTCAATGAGAATCTGATTAAAGACACGTGTTTCAGCTCACAAATAAAAATTCACGTAGATCAAACAAGCTGTATTTGTTTTTCTTCCCTTTTTGGCAACTTATTAATAAATAATTTATAACTTAAATCTTTGCTGGTGCAAGATTTTAAAGCCATGGAAGTAATGTATTTAAAAGTCATTAAAGACTAAAAAAGTGAGTCATTAAAGTGAGACTCAATTTTTCAAAAGCGAATTTTATTTAAAAAGCAAGTATCAAAAATATTTTTAATTAATAATTGTTTTATCTTCAAAAATGATATAAATCATAGATTTCAAAAGTTTCCACTTTAATTATGTACATTGTTATTAAAAATAAGTATACCACATTATTAAAAAATGTGTCATAAGCAAACACTTCTTTGGCCTATGTTCCATTCATCTTATAAAATAAATATATAAGCAAATAAATACTCTTAACTTCCTCATTCTTTCTACATGTATTTTTTAATGCAAAATATCAACACCACATTTATATTTTGTATTTATAATAAAGTTTTAATAGATTAAAATGATGTCTTTTAAATTGTAACATTCTTTGATTATTGCCATTTTCATTTTTGTCAATAATTTTTTAATGAGCCATTTTTTTAAGAACCATTTTGTTTGGCTAGGGTTTAGTTTCTAAAGTTAAAACTGTCAGAGCCTTGTAGAAGGCTTTCAGGAAAAGTGAATAAAAATAAGTAAATAATTATAACAGAGAGAATTAATGTACAGAATAAAAATTTCAGAAGTTGAATCCAAATATATGGTCAAATAATAACTTAAAACAATCTCATTTTATTTTGGGACTCCTGGTGGAACTATAAATTCAAAAACTGAGGAGTACTGGAACCAACTGAATTTAAATCTTCCTTTTGATTCCTCCCATTTTAAGGCTTATCCGCTGAAAAATATTTGATTAAGATACGACTGTTTTGAATTATTGGTTATAATATTTTTGTTTTCCAATCATCTTTTTTTAATTTTTAATTTTTTATTTTTTATTAATATTATGTTTGGTAGTTTGTTATGTAGAATATAATACTCATGTATATTTTGTCTCAATATGCTTAATAAATTTCCCCACTTAGGGCCAATTGGTATTAGCTTTCGTGCTCATCCAGATGATCCTGGTTTGCAACCTGGCATGATCCTGTCTATTGGTATAATTTATATTTTTATGTAAATAAATAAATAATATTCGAATTTTTCTTACATGTACAATTAATTATGGATTCTGTTTATTGCAAAGAGAGATTAAATAAATACATTATATTTGTGTTGTTCTTTCTTCATACTGTATAACTAATTACAGAGCCTGGATATTATGAAGACGAGCAGTTTGGCATTAGATTGGAAAATCTAGCTGTGATAAAAAAGATTCAAACTCTGGTAAATATAAGATATTTAATTTATAGAATATGGATTTTAGATCTTTTCATTTGATAACTATTTTTACTTGTCTCAGTGTATTATGTGCAGAGTAAAATAATTTGTTATATCTGAATGCTAATGTTCTTTACATTAGTATCTGATACACTTATGTACAAAGATTAAGGACAAAGTGGAAAAATCAGCATAAAAACAGAACAAGACAACAGAATAGATCAAAGATCAATCAGGAGAAAGACTTAAGATCGGTATAGTAGGCATGTGTCTATTTGGCACATGACATGGAGGTAAAAGTAAAGTGTCAGCAGAGCATAAAGTATGCTAGCTGTGTATGCTCAACAATTCAATGAAAGCTTTTGTATAGCATACAGTGATATCGACAACATTGAGTTGGTACTGCTGTGTGATATGGCCAACAGGTAGTACAAGAGATGTCATCTGGATGATTTTACTCATGTCATTGGGAAGCTGGAAGAAGTTTGAAACATGGCAGTTGTGGTGTGAGAATTTTGGATTTCTTATAGCATCCATGAGCCTAGAGAGCATTTCAAACAGCAGGAACAGCTGTCCAATCATTCAGCAGTGGTCATCACTGAGCAACAATAGCAGCAGATGACTAGTATATTGCCATACAGGCAAGGTAATACATGCGACAGACACAGCGGGAGAAATCGCAAGGCACATGCAACGAACTACTGGATGTCTGATATCACATTTTACTGTAGCCAGGAGCATGATCTAAAGGCATGATAATATGGTGTGTAATTAATGCATGTCCACTGGAGATGGCGGTTTCTGTGGTGCCGGGAACACAAGAGCTGGATACAACAGGAATGAGGTCAAATGCTGTTTATAGGTGAGAGCTAATGTAGTCTCTTGAGTGCTTCTGGATGTATACAGATTTGGAAAGAAAAGCTAGCATGCAATCACTCCTGCAAAATCATTGAAAAGGATCATTTTGGAAGTGCCATAGTTCTTGTTTGGGGTGTCATCATACTTGGTAGCCATACTGATCACATTTTTCAAGGAGGTGCAGTTACATGTGTCTGCTGTTGTACTGGGGTTCTTTTGCCTCATTTGTGTCTGTTTAGAGGGGTTGTGGACATAGACTTGTCAATCATGGACGACAATGCTGCAAATAATTCCCCTTACATTTAATACATTTTAATCTGTTATTAGAAACAAGGGATTATGATTTTTTTAACACTTTTTATTTTTATTGTTATTTGTACATTTCCAAAGTTACTTTCTCATCCAGAGATTTAGTCTGTGGTGCTTCATAATTTATGTGCATATGAATTATTTATGCAAGCTTGTTCTATGACTGTTTTGATTAATGAGAAAATAATATTTATAATCATGCTGAGCAGATAATTTTACCTAAGCTTCTAAATAACTTGACTTCGAAACTGGGATATATTTGATTTTCAATGCTGGCTCATCATCTGAAAGGTTGATAATTCCATCACATAATGAAATTTTTGGATGCTATGCATGTGTTTCATTTTTATGAACGCATGAAATATACATATTTTTACATGATTATTTTATTCATCACTAAATAATTCAATATTTAACCACTTGCTCTACAATATAACAAGCAGTAAAGTGTCTCATTTACTCCACTCCGCGTCTGCGAGTGCAATTCAGAGCTGTAACTCAAGAAATAAACAATCTCGTTGTTAGGCGACGTGTGCACCACGTTATTTTCATTTTTGCACACGGTTTGAGACAAAAGCATCTCGATATGCTTGGCACGTCTTTTTAGCGCAAGTGGTTAATAGGTATTTGAGCACATGGACCAATAGATGTAATTGATTTAGCAGAATATTTATCAATGGCATCCTGAAGTTTTGCTTTAGTTTGAAAATATCTTATAACGTTTAATCTCTGATAATTCTTTCAGTAACTAAGGGTCTGCGTCTTCAAATAAAGTGTAAATAGTGCCTAATTTCTGAATTCTAATGATTGATTCATTTTTGCTAAGAATTTTGTATGACTTTTATAAAATTGTGCATTTGAGTCTGTGTTGATTTGGCTGTTCTAAGAATTTTCTGTGCAGTCACTTCATCCATAATGAATAGAATCAAAATACCAAAATCAACTTCAGAATGATGGTAACATAAAAATATACACTTTATTAATCAAAGTTAGATGAAACTGAAACTAAATTAAACTGTGTCTTGAGCTGGTGGATTCGGAACATCTCGGTGAAGTGCCTTCAGAAATGTAGATGTATGCTGCTGATCTGTATTTGTTACAATAGGAACTCAGTTGTTGATTACACATATATATTTGAAATGAATTATTTAAATCATACAGGTGGAAGCAGAGCTACATTTATGAATAAAATGCGGTTAGTACAATAGGAATACAATGCAATGGGGAAACAGAAGAGTGAATGAATGAATGGTTACCAACACAGTGCAATGAAAGTGGATTAACACCCTGTAGTATGAAAGTATTGAAGATGAGCTGAACAGCTATGTCAAATGATTCTACTTTTATTTAAAAATATTAGACCTTAATGATTGTAAAATTTTACTTCTTAGGGAATGGAATTTTCCTCTTCCCATTGCATTTAGAGCATCCCACTTTATGGCAATCCATCTTTTCAGCTCTCTTCATTTATCTAATGTATGAAAAGAATAATGGCATTGTAGAATGCAAGATTAGATATAAAAACAATTTTTCATTTTAAATATATGCTCCATTTATGTAATATATAGAATATGTAATATATAGAACAGAGTAATGCTGTAAAATGCAAGACTAGGTATAAAAGCAATTTTTTATTTAAAATATATGCTAATCCAAGGTTGTTTTTGTGCCTAATTTTCGTTTAGAGCCAAAAGTCATAAATAGTAAACCTTCTCTGAAACCACCTTTAGAAGTGATTAAATATTCCTGAGAATGTAAATATCAGTATTAAGCATCACTGTCCAAGATGACTAAGTGTTTATAAGACCAAAATCATGTGGATCATATGGAAAACTAAGCATGTTACTCCTAGAGAGGTTTCATTGCATTTAATTTTCAGTCGGTTCTTTAGCTCTGTTTTGTCATTTTTTTAAAAAGCTGATTTATTTAGCATCTACATGCATTCAGAAGTTTTATTATTTTATTTATTTCAGTAATCAAAAAGCATCTGCACGATAAAAAAATTAGTTTCTGATCTGTAATCTATCAAATAACTGGAAAATTCCTGTGTCTCAGTTTCCTTTGTTAAATGTTTCATACTCTATGTTTCCTCCTTAAATTTTTATCTGCTTCAATAATTTTCTCATTTTCTCAGTATTTATTTATGTGTATATGCTCCTCATGCACAATCCCCCCCTTTAGTTGTAGTAAGGGGAATTATCTGTTTTCACATTTCATACAAAAATCCAAAGACATATTAAAAGCTATCAAAAGCCAAAGACATATTAAAAGCTATTGTGCTAGTTGAAAAATTTAAATGCTGTAGAAATGTAATATAAAAAAAAAACTTAAATATATTTTAAAAATAATTTACTAATAATTCTTTTCTTGACAGAATGAAAAAGCAGTTATTAAAATATTGAAGATATTTTTATGAATTTTGATGAAAAAAATCATTTTATTAAAGGGAAATTATAATTACCGAATAAAAAAGCTGTTATATGTATATTATTGTCTCGTATGTTCTTTGTATGTTAATGTTAAAAAAAGTCCCATCAGTGGCTGAGTAATAAAGTCACTGAGAACTGGTAGGTTGATCAGGGTTCAAATCGCTGTGAACAACAGGTTGTCTGGCGAACTTGACAAGAATATATATATTCTCTCTGACAGCCAATCAGCCATCCGTGCTCTGGCTAATCATGTCAAGTTACAAAACTGTGCTCAAAATCTCAATTCTCTGGCTCAGGCCCATAACACCATTAGTTTAGTTTGGGTCCCAGATCATGGTGATTTTGCTGGAAACGAACTAGCCAATAAAGTAGCTAAAGATGTTTTGCAACTACCCATGTCTGGCCCAGAACCATTTTACCCAGTTTCATATCAGACTGTTAAAAAAGATGTAAGAAGCTGGATAAAGAACAAACATGATGATATATGGTCTAAACTGCCAGACTGTGCTCATTCTAAATTAGTGCTCAGTACACTTAACTTATCAGGTAAACTCATACAACTTAGTAAAATTAACTTACGCCAGGTAATTCAAATTGTTACCGGACAAGCTTATCTGGCCAAGCATCTCCACAAATGTGGTCTTGTCAAATTTCCTCTCTACCGAGCTTGTGGAGAAGAAGAGGAAACACCTACTCACTTCCTGGGATGATGTCCTGTATTTTCTGTCCGTATTCCTTGGGTTTCCCTACATCAGCTTCGATCAGGCGCTTCTAAACAAAGAGCTGTCTGGCATAATAGGGTTCCTAATGTATACTAAACACCTACAGGTATGGTGAATTTGAAACCACAAGAAACAAGCAATGAGATGTCCTGTGAATCCCTTTTGGGGGGGAGTAAAAGAAACTATGTGGGGGAATTCCCTCTCACAGCTGTGTTTTGAAATATAAATATAGATATTAAATCTATATACACTACCTGGCCACTTGGTTTGAGGAAGTACCTCTGTCCTCCTTATTTTTCAGACTCACCATCACACCCTTGTTTGGTCAAGAGTTTGAGTTTTATGGTTTTGGGAGGGATTGAATCGGCTCTTCATCCAATTGGGATGTCTTAACGATTTAACCGATCCCCCTGAATTTAGAGATGGAATCTTTTACTAATACTATATATTTGGTGGCAGTTTGGAATCTTATCTACTTATTTACTATTTACCTTGCTGGGGAATAACCATTTAAAATCTTTGTTTTAAATATTTAAATGGCAGAAGAGCAATGGGCAACATTGCCTAAGCTCTTTTTCCTTCTTTTTATAAGAAGGAAGCACCACCATTGTTGTTGTTGTTGTCTGGCAAACAGATTTTGGGAATTTTCGTAGTTTTCCTCATGTATAACATGATCACAAGCCAGCTTTCCTTAAAAAATCCTCTATGAAGGCAACCCTTCCCACAGGCAAATAGCCCTTGAGTTGCTTTACCTTAATCAATTAACCTAAACCATCACAATGCAACCAATTCACTGATTTTAAGCAGTTCTTGGAAATTGTCAACCAAGTTAGTTAGTCGCACAACTTTTTCAAACTTTTACTTTCATGGGCATTTTTATTTTCAGCATAATTTTCGGAATGTGGAATATCTTACTTTCGAACCATTGACACTTGTCCCTTTCCAAGCAAAATTAATAGAGCCTTCAATGTTGACAGCAGAGGAGGTAATGTTTATGTTTTTTTTAGCTTTCAAAATCAAATATAAATGTAGATTATATATATAATAACATATAATATTATAATAATGAATACAAATATTATGATCTATACTAATGAATATAAACACAAAACTAAATAAACATAGATTTATTCACTTTTGTAATTTTAATCTTAATTATATTAAAATCTTTCTTTGGGTAAACTTATTTCATGTTCTCAAATTATTTCTAGTTTTTGTTCAGTAATATAAAAATGTGAAGTTTTTATTATTGCATTCTCTTAGAAACATGATAATTATTCAATAATAAATTGTTGCTGGCAACAATAAATGAAGGGGATTATTGTTATAAATTTAAACAATCTCCTGAATTACCATCTTCATCAAAGAGTTGCAACAGCTCTTTCTCTCTCTGTCTGTCTCTCTCTCTTTTTTTTATTTTTATCAAGCCTATCTCTTCTTACATTTTTGGTTCTTTCTGATTATCTGCATCCCCCTCAGAAAAGTATTCATGAGGCAACACATTATATCCCCAAAATGATATTGGCAACCCATGATGTTGCTAGAATATATTTATGTGGCACTCATGTATGTGCAGCAGATGAGTGCAGATTTCCACCTTCAAATTTGATGGTCATTTTTCTAATTAGCATTTGTTTTTGCATTGAATTTAATTTTTCTTGTAAGGAATTGTAATGGAACAGGGGAATTTGTTGGCAGAGGAGTAAGAAACCTTTTTTTGTCTACAAAAATGTATTATTTTTTATTTTTCAGAAATATGATATTTGCCTAATAGTAGAGAATACAAAAATTTGTGTTTCTTAAACAATTGAATATGTGTATTTCTCTAATGTTTCTTCAAACAGAAACAGATTGATATGTACATAATAGTAGAGAATACAAAAATTTGTGTTTCTTAAACAGAAACAGATTGATGTGTACATAGGGAGAACAAAAGTGTGCATAATGCCAAGTTTGTACTTTTTTCTGATATTTCAAGTAAAACAGATCACTTTATTGCATTTCTACATATTTTTTCACCTAATGCAAAGAGGTAAATCATTAACCCTGTATAATGCAAGCTATTTGGCCATTTCTCAGGGGGGGGGAAATAAAAAAAATATGTATATACATGCAACACATAAAACAACTTAATCTATATAGTTTTATTTTATTATATTTTATATTCCATTTTATTATATATAATTTTAAATGTGCCTATTTCAAATCATAAAACCATAGCTCTTATAATAATAATATTAATCATTTCTTTACATACTTAGAAAATTGCTTCAAAGTGCTATTATTTTTACTCCCTTGCAATAATTTATCATTTGGTGCTGTATCTTTTAATAATTGATATTCTTTGGTGATTTGCTGTTCCAACTCTTAATTTCGGAATTTCTGCTTGATGCCAATTGCTTATCAATATGACTTTTTAATGTTGTTTTTAAAGCACACATAAAATCATCCCATAAGCAAGTCAAATATATGATATTGAATATATATATATATATATATATAGCTTATCTGTGTAGTTTCAAAAAAATAATAGCGATCTTGAATTTATAGCAGCAGGATTTTTGCACACTAAGTTTAAACTTAGTCGAATAAGGAATATATTTAGCTTCATAATTTCTTTGCATGCCATTAGCTCATGTATTGCATACCTTTGCTTAAGTCCAGCCATACTATCCCCATTATCATAGTTCTGACATCAAACTTGAATGTCAAGACCATCTTTTTCTGTCATTTTAGGGAATTTCTTTGCTAAATTATTGTCAGTTGACACTTTTACTTCTATAAAATTGATTATGCTTCTTTCAGTTATTATGGTTTCATTTGATAATTGATGCAGCAAGAAAAGAAAAGTAATTTATCATAAACCCTTTTTTTAAATTTAATTTTTTTCTATTTTGTAATATAAATTACATGCTATCAATAATGAAAGTTTTAGTCATTATTAAAACACAAGCAATAAATTATAAGAAAATTATGAAAAAAAGAAAAATAATTAAGCATCATTTAGAGAATAAAAAAATTGTTTTGGAAATTAGACGTAATAACAATGCTACAACAAGCATTTAACTTAAGTTAAAATGAACATAACTAATTCCTCATTAAGTACACCAAGGTGGCAAACTCAAAACCAATTTTTGGGGGAGAAATGCTTTTTTTCTCCTGTCTGCTTTAGATTCCAATACATTTTTTTTAAAGAAATGTAGAAAATCATTGAATGAATTTTTTTTATCATTTTTATTTTATCTATGAAAATTTCAAAACTTTATATTTGATACATTTTTAGGTGTTAACATTTTAGTATCATAAATGTCAAATAATCTAAAAAATTGAATAATTTTCAAAAATTCACCAAAATCTAAGAAATTAAATTGCAAGTTTCTTTGAAAAGATTTTTTTCCACTGTATTCGATGGCACTGCTTTAAACAGTTTTATCATTGTGCCCATTGCTTTACACAATTTTATCCTACATTTGGTTTCTTAAATGTTATTCATATTTTAGTCAAATATTTTATTTTTGAAATCCTAAGAATCAAATATCATAAGATTAAAAAGTTTTTAAATTTAAAAAAATACAAACACTAAATTTTACCCAAAAATTTATTTTTCTTCTTTTTCTTCAGGCATTTTACTTTATTCTTGCTCTTTTCCTTTAGGCATTCCGCAAGTATATTAAAAAGCATTCAAATTTTCGAAATATCTTCATATTTCTGACAATCATTTTAAATAAAGTTATCGCCTTCCATTTCATAAAGGCCCACAAACGGCCGAGCAGTAAAGTCGCTGAACACTGATAGTTCACTCCGGGGTTCGAATCCCGGTAAACGGGCTGGCTGCATGGGCGGTTTTGTGGTTTTCCCCACGTGTAACATGTATACGAGCCAGTTTACCTTAGAACGTCCTCCACGAAGGCATCCCTCCCTTTAGGCAGATAGCCCTTGTGTGCTTTGCCATAATTAAATAATCCAATCCAATTCTTAATTAAATATAATTGATTTGTAACTTCTACTACATCTGATGGTAAAAATGGAAGTGCAAATAAATAATATAGTGTGCAATCTTGATTAATATAAAATTAAAAATTTTGCGTAGAAAAATTTTGCATTCAGACATAAAGTTTTGAAATATTTCAATTACTTTATAAGAAGGATTTATTAAAACCATAATATACTTATTATATTATTGATGATTAGGATTCAGTCTTGACAATTACATTCTAAATAGAATTTTAAGGATATAATGAAATTACGCTACGCACAAAAAACATTTAAGATAAAAAATGAGGATTTTTTATGTTTTAAACTTCTTAATCATTTAATAAAATCGTATCCTCGTTTGTTAATTGAATCCAGAATGTTGGTGTCGTTTATATAATTATTCTTACTCGTCCACAGAGCTGCTGATTTATCCAGCCATTAAGTAGCTGCAAATCATTTCTACATAACCATTGAATCACTAATTCAGTCTCTAGAGGGTTGTATGTTTATATCATAATTTGACTTATATAAATGATTATTCTAAATCTTATGTTTCTATAAAAATTACTGTGCTTAAAAAATATGGATGATAGTATCTGCCGCTCTTTCAGCCACTTCAAAAGCAGCAGTTTTGTTTAGAAATAAATTATGCAGTTATGTCATAAAATATTTCATAAAATTCAAATAAACATTAAACGAAAATTCTTCAAGTTTTAGACAATTCGATTTTAAACGAAGTAAGTAAGTAGCAGACGATTAAAACGCCGAATGTAAAATTTACTCTTAGAAAAAATGTACTCTTATTTTTTTAAAAAAAAAGGAAAGAAAGAGAGAAATTAAAAAAACACTGTTAAAATTTGAATAATATCATATATAATTTAAAAAAACAGCTTTTCATATAGTATTAATAAATATTTATTACGCCTTATTGAGGGAAAAAAATTCATATAATTAATTCTCCATAAAATTTTACTTGAAATTTAAGGTTAAAAATAGCTGTGGCAATTCAGTGTAACAAAAATCCATAGACCACATTTGGCGTTATTATCGCTCAAAAAAAAAAAAGATGCCAAATTTCAAAACGCGAAAATATGTAAATTCGTGTATATCTTAGAAAATTTTGAATAAAAATGTCTAATTTTTTGCAGATATGTTTAAAATTACACCTACTTTATGACGATGGTAAAAATTTTATAGGTTTATAATTCAAAATTTTTTTCAAAAAATTTATAAAAATTATTTAAAAATAGAAATTTAAAAAATAAAACACAAAAAATGGGTAAATTTTATTTGGAATGAACCTAAATTCGAAATGTGAGAGAAAAAATCAAAAAAGTTTAATAAAAAAAGAGATATTAATAAATATTTGCCAAAATTCAATTAACATTGAGGAGCTAAAATTTTGAGAGCAATATTTAAAAAACTAGCGTACGATTTTACAAAAAAACTTGGTATTCTGCATAATTGAGTCGTAGAATCGAATATGTAAAAAAATTGGTATGTTATTTCAGAAAAAGTCCGATTTTGTGTCAAAATACTTATGTTAGAATAGTGCTATATATAAATCTAATGTATATCCTAAGTCGCGCTTTCGAGACATGAAAAACGCAATTTGAATTTTGTCAATCGGCCCAGTAGAACGGGAGATAAGCACTGTCCTCCTTTTTTTTTTTTTTTTTTTTTTTTTTTTTTTTTTTTTTGAGCAGTGTACAAGAAAACAACATTACGTGCTACTAAAAACAGACGGCCACTGGGGGGGGGGGATTTTCACGGGCAGGAGAGGATAGCGAAAGGGTTAACATATCGATTTATTTAATCCCTTCAGTAGTATATGTAATTGATTCAGAAAAACTGTAAATGAAACCAACTACACAGATCTAACAAAAATTAAGTATGGCTACAACAAGACAAAACCTTGTGCCAGGCATGTTGTTAGTGGCAAAGTTTACATAAAAAATGACACATATGCTACTAATACAGTAAATTTTATTTTCAAATATATTTTTTAGATTCCTGATGGTATTCCAATGAGCCTTTATGCATTAGGTCTGCTGTAAGAAATTGCAAGCGGTTACATTATCATTCATTTTCAGTTAGTGGACTTTGGTAAGCTTGAAACAATAAAGGAATTCAAATGAAATGGAAGTGTAAAGAATGACAAATGTTGGGAGCATGGTACTTTTTAGACAAGTTAAATCTTTTCAGCTCAATGAGTTATTGTAAACAAGCATAAATTAACTTCAAGTGTTATCTCCAACAGTAGGCTTTAATGTTAGAAAAAGCATATACAATGCTGTGAAAGCTCAACATTTTTTAGAATAAATTAATGTTATTATTTTTTCTCTTAATTCATTTGGATTGGTTTGGTTCTGCTTTGCACATGGAGAGAAAAACAGCACAAAAAATATTACACAAGGATTTCTTGGAAAAAGTTAATGTTTTATTGTAGGTGTTTTTTGCTTGTTGTTTAATTTAATTGATTTATTGTCTTTTTACAGAATTTTTTATGCTGCACTATTTTTGAAATAGCTGTTATCTTACATGTGTTGGCTTAGAGAAAACTTAGTCACCAATAAGGTGTTGTTGTTTCAGGGGGGGGTGCCAATAATCAGAAAGTACCACATTTTCAACTTTTTCAAGTATCTTACTTAAGAAGTTCTTATTGTTTTATGTTTGTTTTGAAGGGAAAAACTTATAGGTGCTGACCCATAAGTGTTGCAACTTGTACAGCTTTTGTCCTTGTGTACTTTTGAAATCATTTATGTAATTGCATACCTATCAGTTTTAAGCAACATGCACATTGCATGAATTTTCACATTATTTTATCATTTCACTAACGAATACAACTTTTATGCTTCTTATGATTTATAAACTGCTTTACAGTAAAAATACTAAAATTTTATTCAGTATTTCTTAGCTTGAAGATGCAAAAAGGCATCAGATTATAATGTTGAAGAATCATTACTCATCTTCTTTAATTGCTGCTAAGAAATCTCACTTTTCTCAGAATCTGTCATTGTTCTATATTCCTAAGAAAGTTATGAGAAATGCTTTAATGATATCCTTATAAAAATGGGGCAGGGGGAATTAAATGTCTTTCACTGAATGTCTTTTAAATATAAATTATATTATTAATTGATGGAAAGACTTTAATGTGTACATATGTATGCTACATTCAATGCACGAGCCCCATCTTTTCAATAAAATTTCTGTGATTGTGTGTCGATGTATAATTTTTCATGTAATAGTGTTCAATTTATTTTTACTCACCAAAGAAACCACATAAAGAACCAGATTTACCACCCAAAGAAAGATTTTTATTATATCTGAAGATAAAAAAATTTAGTGACAAGTAAATTAATGATAAAAAATTAACAATTTATTTTTTTGATAATTTAATAATTTTAATGATAATTAAAAATTTTAATTAAATTTTTAATTTGAATTATTAATTTTAAAAATATTTTAATATGTAAGTTATACCCCAATATAAATTATTTTAAGTTTAAATGCTATGACAGCATTTCAAAAACCTTGATTACATTTACTTTTTATTGCAATTGTAATAAAATTAAACATTTACCTCTTTAAGTACAGTCAAAAGTCGTTAATCCAGACTCGTCGGGACTTCGGTGATTCCGGATTATCGATTTTTCCGGATTATAGATCATCAGTTTAAATCTGGTAAGATTGCATGCAGAAATTATAAAATTAAAAATATGAAACCGTAATTTATGAAATAAGGAGCAATTATGATCTAAAGGGTATCAAAATTTATTAAAAAAATCTTAATATTTATTTGTTTACTTTATTAAACATTTCTTTCAATGTAAGTTGTTTAAGTTGCTTCGTTTTTTATGTGATAATACTTTCTCTTTAATTCTATAAACAGACATAATTTCTTGTTCAGTTACAAAGTTCCGCTGTTCAAGTCCTATAATTGCTGTGTCGAGAATACCGACTAATTTGTCAATCGAAATTTTTTCGTTTTCAATAACAGCTGTGTCACTTTCTTCGCTATCGGAAGCGAATTATACTGACGAGGAATTTGATTTAAATCATATCAAAGACGGAGTACATCGAGATGAAATACTACAAGCCAAATAAAATAAAAACATCTGCCCTGAAGATAAGGATAGTGCTGACAGGTCAACTTCCAATTCATTGCGCGCCGAGCCCCACCCCCCCAGCAGTGAAATTGATAAACAGATTCGGAATGGTTAGATAAACACAGGATATGCCTTTATCCATTTTTTACAGCAATTCCACTGTTTGGTTAATCGACTTCAAAACATACTTTCGCTTTGTAGATCCTTTACATATTAGTAAATATATATCAGAAATTCTATTTGACATAATCGAAAGTTCAAGCTTACTTTTATAAAATTGCTCTAACAGTCTTCAAAAAATAATAAGCCGGATCCAATTCGAAGATTAAGGAACAACGCAATCTGCAACATTAACTGAATTAATTCTTACCTTATACCATCCATTATACATTAAATGCGCATTCGTAAACGTATTTTGCACATGCGCACACGCATATTCGCAGCCGTAAAGGTCTTACACGCATGCATCAACGCGATGTATGCGCAGAAAGTTTGTAACTTTGAGGTCCGAATTAACGACTTTTGACTGTATATCACTAAATTTTTCAAAGTTAAAGTGATATCTCATTTTATAAGTTCCTTGCTAAAGCAAATATTAATTCATTTTTAGGTGTTGCATCTAAAGATCTGTTTATGACAATGTTTAGCCTAAAATTTCTGAGATTTCCCTTTCCCTTTTTTATGTCTCTCCTCCCTTATGACATTACATATCAAAGCATTGTGATGTTTCACAGGTCTGATAAGATCTATTTGTTGAAATATTCATCTTTGTATTTTGCAAATAACTTTCCAGAAATTTTTGATGGAAAGTATTTGCTTTGATGATGCCTAATAATTTATTCATTTTGAAGTGAAAGAGAAGTTTGAGAAAATTTTTTAATTAATTCTCGCTTGAGTACTTTTTTCACAGAATTCTGCCTTGAAAGTTATATTAGTTCATTTTTGCATCCTAGGAAGCACGGAGTAATTAAATTATTTTTGAACGTTACTTGTTCTGAAAAGCTTCTTAAAAATGTTTACACTTTTGTATTTTCTAAAAAAACTTCAAGCTTTCATCATTTTTTTTCACTTTATATTCTTGATTGATTTTTGAAATAAATTTCTAAACTTACATAAACATTTATATATAAAATGTCATCACTTAACTAATGGCCATGTGTACCAATTGAAATTAGTATACAATTACCCTTAATGGGCAATTCTATTCTGACTTTAATATGCATGATAAAGTAAGCTTTTAATTTAATAATTGATATTATAATTGATTTAATAATTGATATTATAATTGATTTAATAATTGATATTTTCATGATTTTTCTGTGAGTGACCTAAATATTGAACCAATTTTCTTTGAAAAGTATGCTTCTGAAGTATTTGGCATGTGATGAATAGCAATATTGGGACTCATAAATAAATTCCTGATAGTCATTTTAATTCTTTATTACATACATTTATATATAATATGTGCAATCTTCAAACTATAAGATGAGAACTTTCACATACAAAATTTTAGATGCCAAAAATATGCATCCATATTCTATCAGCAGACGTCCATTAATTAATTAAAAAAATTTCTCAAACTTCTCTTTCACTTCAAAATGAATAAATTATTAGGCATCATCAAAGCAAATACTTTCTATCAAAAATTTCTGGAAAGTTATTTGCAAAATACAAAGATGAATATTTCAACAAATAGATCTTATCAGACCTGTGAAACATCAATGCTTTGATATGTAATGTCATAAGGGAGGAGAGACAGAAAAAAGGGAAAGGAAAATCTCAGAAATTTTAGGCTAAACATTGTCGTAAACAGATATTTAGATGCAACACCTAAAAATGAATTAATATTTGCTTTAGCAAGGAACTTATAAAATGAGATATCATTGCCAAACAGCATTCTGAAAAAGCAACAATAGTTGCCATAGCATTTGGCTCCCTTGAAGCACCACAATATAAATTTCAAATATTCCATGCAGCATTTTCTTCAAAGGCAGATAGCCTGCAAATGTTTTAATTAATTTTATATCTGTCTGTCTTATGTATAGGGCAAACAAATTTAGTTGTATATTTATTATTCTGGAAGAGAAAAGTTATGTTAGTAATGAAAATAAAGTTCCAATGGAGAGCATATTAGCTTAGACAAAGATTTCATAACATTAGGAATAATACTGAAAAAAGTTTTGCATCCAGATATCTCATATTAATGATCAAGGTTGGAATGACAAATTATATGTATAGTTATGTGTTTCAATTAAAATGTAAATTAACCTTTAAGGAAAAAGTTCTCTTTATAAATAGAACAAATAATTTTATATCTTTCTGTCTTTTAGTTAAAATGGTTGAATGACTACCATGCTTCTTGTAGAGAAATTATTAGTAAAGCTTTAGAAGAACAAGGAAAGGAAGAAACTCGTCAGTGGCTTTTTAGAGAGACTATGCCTTTAGGATAATAATCAAAGTTTTAGAATTTAATCAAAATTGACCTTTCATTAGCTTTATGTATAGGACTAATCCTTTGTAATTAAGTGACAATGAAATATATAGAAACATATGTTCAAATATATTTACACGTTTGCATTTGGATAATAATTAGTTTTGTCAAATTTGGATTGCTCAAAATTAGTTTGCTAAAAATTGTCATTTTTTATGAATAATAAATAAATATTTTGCAATTTGTGCAAGATGTTTCATTTCTCATTTTGATGGGTTTGTGCAATTTATGAAAAATAGTTTCAAAAGAGATTGGTATAATGTTAACAGAATGTACAGAAAAAGTAGCTGCAAGCGTTATTTCTTTAATTATTAATCCTGGACTTGTACTTCCAGTTACAAACTTTTTAAAAATAAATTAGGGAGTTTTATGAAAGTGATTTCAGCAGTGGATGTTAAGGTTTCCTTAAAAATAAAGTCTAAATTTTTTTTGCATATTCCCAATGGAGCAAAAATTCCAGTTAATCGTTAATTAGTTAAAAAAAAAAAAAAAAAGATTTCCGCACCTTTACATAAAAATGTGGATAATGAATGTTTCAAACAAGCCAGCTCCAAATTACTAATTGATATTGTTATAATCCAATAGAATTATTAATTCCAGAAATGAGAATCTTTTATTTTCTTCCAAATGCTTTGAATGTTGGCAGTAGGCATGGTAATATTCAGTTCTTGAATGTGTTTGCAAAATTTTGCAAGAAGTTATCTCTCTCTCTCTCTTCTTTTTTTTTTTTTTTTTTTTTTCTAATTCATTTTAGTTGATGAATATTTTACTAATTGGAGTTTTTACTATTATTTTATTATTTAAACAGGGTTCGTACGGTCCTTAAGAGTCCTTAAATTTTTTGAAATCGGTTTTTGGTCCTTAAAAGTCCTTAATTTTGGCCAAAATCAGTAGAAGTCCTTAATTTTAATCATAAGAAATTTCTGTCTGTTTTTACGACTGCCATTTTGAGTGTGAATTAGCATTTTGGAGGAATGTTTTTGGCAATTCATTGACGTATATGGTTATCTTTTGAATGGGTTCATGGGTTATAATTTGTTTCGATTTCTGATGATGGGATACTCGAGTTTCTAAGCAAGAAGTGAAACATAAGCATTTCAAAATTCATTTTTTTTTTCTAATAAAGAGCTCTTAAACAACTTTTCATTTTGGGGTTGTGAGTTCTTTTATTAAATGGTTCTAAATTTGACAACTTGTCAACATTTTGACGATTTTTAAGATCAGTTTCTATAGAAAATTTTTAATTCCGAGATCTGAGAATTTTTCGGCGATTTTTTTTTTAAGCATCATAACATTGTTCATAATTGTTCTTATTTGACATAACATTGATTATAAAATGACATGACACAAAATTTTTTATAACATTTAATAATGATTTGACATAAAATTTATCATAACATTGATAAATTTCATTAAAATAGTGTAATATATTAGAATTATATTTAAAAATAACATTAAAATAAAAAAAATTTTATTTTTTGCTATATCATGTTATAAAGTTTCATTTTGGCAACTTATTATACAGTATTTTAAACCTGAAAAATAAACAAGGTATGTAGCTATAAAGCATAATTTACAAAACAGCTCTTAGTAAAAGCAAAATTAGCTATGTAATTAGTTAAAGTGTTTTCTTTTTAATTTTTTTCATAGTAAACATTTATCCCATGTAATTGTCTTAAATTATTCAAAATTCTCAGAATATGCATCACTTTTTTCTATAAAATTAATTTTACACTTTTTCCTTCCCCCCCCCCTTTTTTTTTTTTTTCAAAATATTTCTGGCTTTTTGCTGTTACAAAATTGGTTGGGATAATTTTTCTTTAGTATTTTTGACATTGCAGCATGGAAAGTTTAGAAGGATTTGAAGGCAAGATTTATAGACCCACAATTCTAGCAGATTCGAGAAATATGTGACAAAATAAAAAATGCCTCCATGGTATCAACATATCAGCACGTAATGGATGCATTTTACAGAAAGTGAGTTTCTTACTTTTTGGAGAACGTCTGGAAGAACAATAGAAACATAATATTTGAATGTTTTACTCCTGATACTAGAATCATTTTCTTAACATGTTTATCTTCCTTTTATTTTCTCTACTTTTCACTAGACAAAAGCATGGAAAATATCAAAAATGCTTCGAATCTTATCACTTTGGCAGCCATTATAGAAAGAGATTTTTTTATTAATATAGAAATTGAAAACATACAATTTAAAAGATTAATCTAATATGTCTAAATGGATTGTACACAGAGCTGTTGCTATGCATTTTCCCACCTAATGCAATCTCTGTGTATCATAAATTCTGCTGCCTAGTGCCTATCTAAATTCTACTTCCAATGCCCACTCTAAATTCTAAAAGTTTTGCCATTTCTAGATTTTGTTGTTCAGTGTGTCACTAAATTCTAAAAATTCTGCCACACCAGCTTTTCTGTACATTCTAAATGCATTTAGTGTTTTTTAGAATAACAGAAATCCTTAATTAAATCCCAAAATTCTAAAATTAAAAGGAAACACTGGAAGAAAGAAACCGAATACATAAAGAAAATTATTCTTCAAAGATATGTGCAGTTATTATTATGTAAATTACCCAATTGTTTATGATTTCAGACTTTACTATAACTTCCCATTTCTGTTTCCTCATATGATATATTTACTGAGCCAGATTAAATTAAAATTAAATTGTATAATCTTTGACCACTAGTCAACGTTTTTAGTTTGAATTTGACTGTTTTTGTTTAATTACGTCACCATGATTGACTTTGTTAACATCAGAACATGCCTTAATGTTCTAAGTTCTTTGTCTGGTATTGTAGTTACTTTCAGACATAGTGATAATTTGCTGCACGTCTATCGGGTGGGGGTTGGGACTATTTAACTTTTACCAGATCAAGTAAACCCTCATAGGTACATTGTGGAGAGAGGTTGACAATTTAGGATAAAGCACACAGAAACTAGCGAGAACACTGGTTTGCATATTGAGACAAATTTCTAATTATTGTCAAAAAAGATCGATAATTAAAGAGAAAGAAATCAATATAAACTAGCCAAAATGTTTGGGAAGCCTTGTAGAGACATTAGGTATTTTTGAAAGCAGGAAAGATTAAAAATTAACAACGCCTTCGCTGGGAATTGAACAGTGGACCTCTGGAATACCGGACCACTACACGAAGGCTCGCCAAGAAGGTGGGAGAAATAACCGTATAGACTTCAAATTAAAATGACGGATAAATAGTATCTTGTTGAGTGTTGTTGTATGTGTATCCAAATATTGTTTAAGAATCAGTGTCATAAATTACATGTATGTAACTGTGAAATTTTATTAGATTTTAATTTTAATAGGGCTTTTTTAAACAGATATTGTTAAAATTTAATAGTGGCCATGTAAATTCATAATGATTAAGGTTATCTAATTACCTAATTTAATTATTTATGACTAACTGCTTACCCTTAAAAATTATCTCTACATATTAAAGCGAGTTATTGCCTTTCATTAATACTCACTGTGGTCGCAAGATAAAACACAAAAATGTAAAAATTCAAGTAAAACTTATTCTTTGGATCTACTGAGACTTATATATAAAACAGATTATCACGTCTGGTGCTTTAATGGCTTATTGGAACCTTGAAGTATATTAACTAGATTACACCTGGAACTCTATGCAAAGCTATGACATTAACTGTATTAAGCAGAGCCTAATTAACTTTCAACACTTGCCAACTGTGCCTACATCAGGTCTTTCAAGTTTGTTCCAATCAGCAGGTCTCTCTATAGACAAGCAGCAGAGGGACAACATTCAGTCTTTTGTTATGAATCATGCTGATTATGATCTCACTTCTCATTTTAACCTATGCCATTTGACATAAAATATCCCTATTATTTGCTAAACCTCTAGACTGACCAAGTATGTGACAAACATTAAAAAAAAAGGAAAAGAAAAGTCAGCATAAAGCTAACTATTAGTAAAATGTAAATGTCACTTATCTTCTTTCAAATATGTCCAACTATTATAAGTGTAAAATATTTTATGCTACTTGATAAACTGCATGAAGCTTATTTTATTCTCAAACTTATTAATAATTATGTTAGTTAATTCATGTTTAGTAATAATGCATACTACTTAGGGATCTATTTTATTTTTAGGATGGTATTACAAAAGTGAAATTCAGGCATAGAATAATATTTTTAATTGAATATATTCACTTCCCATTTGCTCATAGGTCCTCATTTTTTTTTCATTAATGGTCCTTAAAAGTACTTAATTTCCATGTGCGAAAATGTGTACGAACCCTGTTTAAAATATATGAAACGTTACTTTTTTTTATGAAACCTTTTGTTTAGTAAAGTTGGAACTACACTATAATATAAGAAGTGATGTACCAAGGAGTTATCCAAATGAAGAAAAATTGCATATGCCCATACTTTATGATAGAATATAAAAATAATTAACTTTTGGGGACCAGTGGCTGAGTTGGAGCTCCAGCACATTTGAAGAGAGCATCTGGATGGTTTATAAAACAGAGGACATTCCAATGCTAAGGTATTCCCATGCAAATGTGGTTCTCATGTAGACTGTATTAATGCCTCACAGATGGGTTCGTGAGTAGTATAAGCAAATGCTCACAGTTGAAAAAGGATGTGCAGTTGGACTAAAGGAAGCAGGATGGTCAAATTGCAGTATTGCTAGACATTTGTGTCGAAGTGATGTTACTGTTCAACAGTGTTCACAGGCATAGTTGAGCCATGGCAGACCATAGTAAAGGCTACGAAATGCTGTTTTGTGTGCTTTATTATTTACTTAGAAAGTGTCTCTTGGTTTTAAAAGCTGTCACTTTAGTAAAAAATGTGTTTGCTGTTGTATGATCAACTGCTGGCCTGCAGCAAGCTTAGTCAGAAGAAGAAATTTCTCCTTGAAAGGATGTTAACTTATCAAATATAAATTCAGATTTAAAGGTATTCCTTCAGATGTGTAAAGCCAACCTTATCTCTCATAATAAATTAAAAAAGTTCATGTACTGTGTGGTACTAGTTCACAAAGGTAATATATTTTAAGGGATAATGTGTAAGTCATGTAAGATGAAGTAGCCTATAAGTCATCAAGAGACAATTAAACAAAACACTCTTTGTTTGGTACTGTTTGACGTTTTAAGGAAGATAAGCTTAACTGTTACAAAATAAAGTT